GGTTGGGGTCTGGGCTGTGGGTGGGTATTGGGCCTTGGGGGGCGATTGGGGGTGGGGCTGGTGCTCCGGTTCTCCCTGGATTGTTTGGATCTTTTGATCGGTATTCCTGGTTGCGATGGCCAGCCGTTTGGTTGGGGTGGCTGCTGGGTTCTGGCGGGGGGTCGGCTGTGGTTGTGTGGTCGTTGGTAGTGCGTGGTGGCGGTCGGGGGCGTGGCTTCACTTTGACGGGGTGCTGGCTGGTCGGCCTGATGTGATATTCACGGTGGGGGGTGTTGTGTGTGTGTGTGTGTGGGGGGGGGTGCATGGGTGGCATGCTGGGTCCTCTCCGGGCCTGTGGTGTGGAGCTTTAGGGATGCATTGGTGTGCTGGGCCAGCCTTCCTCAGCTGCTGCTCCCTGCTGCTCTGGCCCCCGGCCTGGGGCCAGCTTGCGGTCACTGTTGGACGGATGGGGCGCATGGACGGCCCGACAGAGGCTCTGTCGGGCTGTCTCTGTGTGCCTGTCGCAGGTTGGGTTTTAGGTGGTCCCCTCTCTTGTATCTGTTTTGGTTCCCTATTTTGTGTGTTGTGCTCCCCTCCGGTGGTGTGCCCCACTGCCGCCAGTGCATTGGTGACTCTCAGCAGCTGGGGCTGGGTGGTGGGATGTGTGTGGGGCCCACCCTGGTGGCTGCCTGCGGAGGCCTGGGTGCCCGGGCTCTGTCAGGCCTCTGTTGGGGGGTGGTATGACCTCGGGACTCGGGGCTTGGTGTCCTTGGCCAGATCCATTCTGGAGGGGCGGGTTGCCGGCGGGGCCTGTTGACTCGTCGCTACAGCCTCCTGGGGTTTCTGCATTGTGGTTGCTGGGGATTGCCCGGGGCTTCCCTTTGCTTTTCTCTTTGGGGGGTGCGGGTGTCCCTGTTGGTGGACTCCCGGAGTTCCGGGCTTGGGGACCGCTGTGCGTCTGTGGTTCCGGTCTTCCCTGTGTTACCTTTGTGTCCTGTGCGGATGGGTTTATGGGTCCCCACATACACTATTGAACATTTTTATGGAGAAACCTTATAGTGATAAGCATGCTCACACAGGTGTTTAGATTCAGGTGTTTATCAGATACACACTCAGTTGGGTTGTGGTGGCCATCAAATATACATTGTATTACCATGTATTGTATAAAATACTTTCTAATGATGTTATAAGTATCATTATATATGTTGTTTGTTGTGGTTTCTCTTTTTTTTCTTTCATTCCGCAGGTCTAGAGGCAGACTTCAATGATGTTGATTTGTGTTTTCTTTATCCCTCTCTCTCCTCCATTCCTATCTCCTTCGTTACATTTTAACTCTTCTCTCACTTTTCTGCTTTGTTATCTTCTTTATTTTCCGTCCCCGTGTCCATTAAATCTGGAACAAACCCAAAGCATATTCCAATAAAATTTAATTTATATATCAAGTGGAGCATTAAGGCCAGCCATAATGCTCTGCTTGTGAAAGTAAATCTGTTGGGCATCACTTTGACACTCAGACAATAATTCTAAATGTCACAATGCTGGACAGGACAAGGGGAAAAAAACAGCAGCAAGGTCAACCAAAGTGCTGTACAGACAGAACAACAAGTAACACACAAAGGAATATACAAAATGAAGTAAATCAAAAATATAGACATAAAAACGATGCAGATAACGACAACTAACCAGTGTGGAGCATACAGGTTCAAAACACAGATCATCTGGTGTTGAATGCTACTGAATAGTAGTGGGTTTTTAAATGGGACTTGAAAACCGAGAGGGACGGGGCCTGTCTGACAAGCAGAGGTAACTCGTTCCAAAGTCTTGGTCCTGCTACAGAGAAGGCCCTGTCACCTCTGCGCTTCAGACGAGTTCTTGGAACTGTGAGGAGCAACTGGTCCGCTGACCTCAGGGGCATGGTGGGACATACGGCTGTAGCAGATCAGAGAGATTGGGGGGGGGCGCAACACTGTTCGGCGATTTGTAGACATACAGTAGTATTTTGAACTGGATTCGAAGGTGAACCGGTAACCAGTGCAGTGAGGCCAAAACTGGTGTAATGTGCTCTCTTTTGCCTGTACTGGTTAAAAATCGGGCTGCTGCATTCTGGACCAGTTGTAGTCATGCGATGGAGGTTTGACTGATACCAAACAGGAGCGAATTGCAGTAACCAAGCCTAGATGTAATGAATGCATGGATTACTGTCTCCAGGTTATTTTTGGACAATATGGGCTTCAGTTTAGACAGCCGCCTCAGTTGGAAGAAACATGATTTAACAATCATGTTTACATGATTGTTAAGTTTCAGGGAAGGGTCCATTATCACTCCCAGATTAGTGACTTTTTGTTTTTCTGACAGGGTTAGAGCGGAGAGGTCGATGCAGTGGTTTGTGATCGTGTCGTTGGGAGGGAATAACATGACTTAAGACTTCTTTTCATTGAAACTTAAGAAATTTAAAGCCATCCAGTCCCTGATGTCAGCCAGGCAGTCGAGCAGAGGTTGAATAGAGCATGTACCATTGTGTCTTAGGGGGAAGTAAATTTGACAGTCAATTTTGGCCACGGGCTGTGGGCAAAAGCATCTACTCCTAACAGTGGGTCGTCCCGTGGGCTCAGTGAGAACCATAATTGACACTGGGCGTTGTCCCGTGGGGCAAACCGATCCACTGCCGCTCGGCCGAACTTGCTCCAAATCCGAGAAATCAGCTCGGGATGGAGACTCCAGTCCCTGTGGCGCGGACCGCCCCTGGACATTATGCCCGCTCCTCTGTTCAGGACGCCGGGAATGTACACTGCTCTGATGGAGAGCAGGTTTTTGTGTGCCCAACACAACAGTGCATAACAGTTGGGCTGAGCGCACGCCCAATCTGCCGGTTTATGTAAGCTTCAGTCACTTTGTTGTCTGTGTGGATCAGAACATGTTGATTCTGCAACAGGGGAGCAAAATGCTGAATCACATTCCAAACTGTGCGACATTCTAAGATGTTTATATGAGCTGATGTGTGGGCTGGCCACAGTGCCCTCACCGCTTAAGACAGGCACGTTCCTCTCCAGCCTGACAGGGGCGCGTCTGTGAAAACTGAGACATGTGACATAGGTCTGCTGATAGGAACTCCCTCTGACAGAGTAAGAGGGTTTCCCCAGTGCTTCAGGTCAGTTCCCACGGAGGGGGGCACAGAGATCATCCGCCTCTTCTGATGTACCGGATCAATGCGCAGGCGAGCGAACCATCTCTGAAGGCATCTCATGTGGAGTAAGCCCAGCAGAACCACAGCGTGAGCTGACAAAATAGTTCCCAAAAGTTTCAGGATAGAGACGGCCATTATTACTCTGCTGGATTTTACGTGGCGGAGCTGGTCCTTTAGAGCTTTGGCTCTTGGCTGTGATAAGCGGGCTCTCATAGTGACTGAGTTTAGTTCCACTCCCAGATAAACGATCATCTGGGCCAGGAGAACTGAACTCTTCTCCCAGTTTATGGCAAAACCCAGGTTTAACAGGTGTGACGTCAGCGTTTTTGTTTGCGCAGCTACTTCCTGCTTGGATCGAGTTAGCAGCAGCAGATCGTCCAGATAGAACAAAATTCTCATCCCTGCTCTGTGTAGCGGCTGCAGAGCCGTCTCCGCACATTTCGAAAACGTGCGTGGGGTGAGGGAATAGCCGAAAGGGAGCCTGTTGTACTGGTACTGGGTACCGTGGAAGGAGAAGCGCAGGAACTTTCTGTGCTTTGGAATGATTGGAATGTGAAAATAAGTGTCTTTTAGATCTATGGAAGTAAACCAATCAATCTGGTGAATGTTGTCCAACAGCTGTCTGGTTGTCAGCATGTGGAACTGTCTCTCCATGATCGAATTGTTGAATACAGATAGGTCCAAAATGGGTCTCATCCCTCCGGTCCTCTTCGGAACCAGGAATTAACGTGAGTAAAACCCTATGTTTTCCTCTCTGTTGGGCACCCTGGAAATTACATTTTTTATCAGTAATTCCTGAACTTCTGAGTGGAGAGAGAAGATCTGTTCTGGATATGACAGAACTGTCTCTATAATCCCTCTGAGGGGGTTGAGCTGCGAACTGCAGCGTGTAACCTCTGCTGATAAGATGGTTCATCCATCTGTCCAGGGAACACACTCGCTGCCACTCCGTGTAACGCTCTGGGAGCGGGCACGCGTTTTTGTGTTGTGTCAGGTTCTTTGCGGACGTTAACCAAACTAGGGCCTTTACCACCATCATGTGCTCTGGAGATGCTCTCCGAGCGACCCATGGGGAGGCCTTGGTGAAAGGGCTCTGGGAACACCTCGGTGCTATGCTCAGGCTGTGGGCTCACATCAGAGTTGATGTGAGCTGACACGCATTGAGGAGAGCCGTGAGCACCTTTAGAACTGTGACGCCATTTGGGTAGAGATTTCAGTGGCCATGGGAAACGCGTTTGTTCTCACTGCGGTCAGAAAAATCAGAACACAATCTGGGCTGAGAGCGAGTGTTTTTTCTGGGCTTGGTCTGCTGAACAAAATCATTTCTAGCTGCTGTGTCAAGCGAGCATTTTGTGTGGTTTCTCGAGCTACTGTGATTTTTAAAAACCTGTTTTGAGGTTACCAGCTCGTTTTGTGTGGAGGATATGTGAAGAGAAGCCGCGGTGAGATCATTTGATCTGACAGTCAGGCTGGAATCAGACACATTATTCTCTGAATGATGTTTTCATTTTATTTTCAAACTCAAGTCATCATTATACACACACACATCTTCCACAAGGAGTCATTTCTTGTATCTTCTCCTCCGTGAGCCCTGCGACTGGTTGTTCCAGGGCGGCACCTGTTGGCGGTCTCTGGGGAAACGTTGAGCCGCTGGTTGCCGCGATGAGAAGCATTGTTCTCTGGCGGGAGGGGCTGGCAGCGGAAGGGAGCAGGAGGACGCTGCTGCAGCTGTGGAGCGTCTCTGCTGCTGCCTCTGGCCATGACAATCTCTCCAGCAGGCGGGGGGAGGGGGGGGGCAGTTCGGCTTCATCAGGTGGCGCACAGTCTCCGACACTTCCTCTGACTTCTTCGACTTTTCAAGCATGGTCTTGAAATTGGCCCCGAACAGCGCGTCTGTCGTGATGTGGCCCTCCAGTAGGTTATTCTGCAGTTTCTCCAGCAAGGAGGGGGAGTATCGGAGCCAGGTGGACCTCTGAATCATTGTCATCCAGCCAGCAATGCAAGACAGGCAGACCGCAGAGGAGGCGCACTGGTTGAGGATGATGTCAAATGCCTTGCAGAGCGAGCTCCTCATCTCCTCAGGCAAGTCTGTGTCCTCCAGGCTTTTCGAGATGCTGTAGGCCAGCAGGGCGACATTGTTGTTCGCCACGGCCGCCTGGAAAGCACACTGGTGGGCTGGATTGGAGAGTGATGTCACCGTCTGGTTGTGTCTCCCTGGAGGGACAGGACGCTGGTCCAACCTGGACACTTTTGCTTTGAGTGCTTCTGCCAGGCTTGGCTCCAGGGGGTTGTTGTATGTCAGGACAGCTTTGCTGGGGACACACTACTAATTAATTATTCTTAAAGCTAGTTCAAGCACAAAGAATATTAATTGTTTAATAACAATGGATTATTTTCTTTTTAGAGTTAAATTTCTGCCATGTGACCGAGATAACTGTGAGTGGATTGTTTAATCAGTGACAGGAGATGCCATTTTATCTTTGACCCATCAGAATAAATGCGGTCATTTATTTAACAGAATCAAAATTTAACATCAAAACATGTACACATTGATTTGCTGATCTGTTTCTGATTAATAAACTTGGCACGCTTTACTAACAAGACAACAGAACATTACTGATCGAGGCCAATTCATCTCTGAAAGCATCTCGTTTGATTTACTGGCGAATAGAAAAGTTAAAGAGAGGAGGAATAAAAGTTTAAAGATTTAAAAGGAGGTATAGATTGAAGCTATGTATGAAACCAGAACTTTGCACCCTTCCTCCGACATCCCACTCAACTTTCTGGTACACTTCAGGACGTGCAGCGACTTTGTTACCTTAGATGGGGGATACCTCCACTCCGGAACAGAAGTCCATTAGTACGATCCCTTTACAGCGTCTCCGGTTAAAGTAGCTGGGAATCTTTAGAATAAATGCATGTCCCCCACCTCCCTCGGAACATATTCAAAGTTCTCCCGGAGGTGGGAGTTGAAACTCCGTCTCACAGGAGACTCTGCCAGACATTCCCAGCAAACCCTCACAATGCATTTGGGTCTGCCAGGTCTGACCGGCATCCTCCACCACCATCGGAGCCAACTCACCACCAGGTAGTGATCAGTTGACAGCTCCGCCCCTCTCTTCACACGAGTGTCCAAGACATGTGGCCGCAGATCAGATGAGACGATGACAAAGTCGATCATCGAACTGCAGCCTAGGGTGTCCTGGTGCCAAGAGCACATATGGACACCCTTATGCTTGAACAAGGTGTTCGTTATTGACAATCCATGACGAGCACAGAAGTCCAACAACAGAACACCACTCTGGTTCAGATCAGGGGGGCCGTTCCTTCCAACCACACCCCTCCAGGTCTCACTGTCATTGCCCACATGAGCATTGAAGTCCCCAAGCAGAACAAGGGAGTCCCCAGAAGGTGCACTTTCCAGTACCCCCTCCAAGGACTCCAGAAAGGGTGGATAATCTGAACTGCCGTTTGGTGCATAAGCACAAACGACAGTCAGAACCCATCCCCCCACACGTAGGCGGAGGGAGGCCACCCTCTCATTCACTGGGGTGAACCCCAATACACAGGTACCAAGTTGGGAGGCAATAAGTACGCCCACGCCTGCTCGGCGCCTCTCACCAGGGGCAACTCCAGAGTGGAAGAGTGTCCAGCCCCTCTCAAGGAAACTGGTTCCAGAGCCCAAACCATGCGTAGAGGTGAGTCCGACTATTTCTAGCCAGAACCTTTCAGCCTCACACAGATTCACAGATTCAATTAAATTCAATTCAGTTTATTTATATAGCATCAAATCACAACAAAGTTGTCTCAGGGCACTTTACAGAAACATTCACATACATAAAAGCCAATTAGTAAAGTTCTCTATCTAAAGAATACAGCAGACAAGTTGAATCTTGGCTTCATTGCAGCCTCCCATCCTGAGCAAGCATAGTGGCAACAGTGGACAGAAAAAACTCCCTTTTAAAAGGAAGAAACCTCTAGCAGAACCAGGCTCAGGACAAGCAGCCATCTGCTTTGACCTGCTGGTTGAGAGGACAGGAAGGAGAGACAGACGAACACAGAATGGTAGGTCCAGGAATGAGACTCTTGGTCGGCTCCAAGGAGATTCTAGCAAACCATCAGGTGGCCGAGGAGCAGAAAGCAGCTTTTTACTAACACTGTGTTCAGTGAAGGTGGGGTGCTGTTGACCTCGACCAGTGATGTCGTCAGGAGGTGGAAGGAATACTTCTCTGACCTTCTCAATCTCATCAGCACATCTTCCATGTAGGAAGCTGAGTCTGATGACTTTGGGGTTGGTCCGTCCATAACCGGAGCTGAGGTCGCTGAGGTAGTTAAAAAGTTCTGAGGCGGCAGAGATCCAGGAGTGGATGAGATTCAACTTGATTTCCTTAAGATTCTGGATGTTGTGGGGATGTCTTTGTTAACACGCCTTTGCAACATTGCGTGGACATCGGGGTGTCCCTGGATTGGCAGACTGGGGTGGTGGTTCTCCTGTTCAAAAAGAGGAACCAGAGGGTGTGCTCCAATTACAAGGGCATCACTATCATTAGACTCCCTGGTAAGGTCTATTCAGGGGTACTGGAGAAGCGAGTCTGATCATTGGTCGAACCTCAGATCCTGGAGGAACAATGTGGGTTCCGTCCTGGCTGTGGAACACTGGATCAGCTTTTTACCCTCTCTAGGATCCTCAAAGGGTCATGGGAGTTTGCCATCCAGTCTACATGTGTTTTGTGTACTTGGAGAAGGCATTTGACCTTGTTCCTCAGGGTACACTGTGGGGGGTGTTCCTTGAGTATGGGATTGGGGGCTCTTTGTTACCGGCTGTTCGGTCCCTATACTATATATATATATATATATATATATATATATATATATATATATATATATATATATATATATATATACATACATATATATATATATGTATATATTACTTTCTTCCCAGGCTCTTATCGAGGTGGCAGCTTCTGTTTCTCCTCCCCCATTTTTTTCCTTCTTCCTGCTCTGCTCTCTGTGTGTCTGAAGCGCCTGGGTCTCATCTCCCGTACATAAATTAAGAAGACTATGGATTTGGTATCGTGGGCGTTCAACTCTATTGATAAGATTTTTTTCATCAAAACGACCAGGTCCCAGAGAACCGGCGTGTCCAGCTGAGACTCACGCTGTGAGGTCTGTCATGGATTCGTGGGGAGTGTGGCAGTTGATGTGCATCACAGTTCTGTCCCAGGAGGATGTTGAAGATGTTTACATATTTGGAATTATGATAGCATGGACTCTGCTTTTTGGCATCAGCGGGGCTCTGTTTTATCGACTTTTGAAAAAGACATCGGCAGCAGTTTTGGCCATGGAAAAGCTTCCAAGTCAGTGTGAAGGTCTGGTCATCACTGTGGGAACTTTAAATCATCTGGTTTATGAGCTTAACCGTAAGGTGGAGGCGATTGAGAATCGCAGACTACCTGCGGCTTCTGGGACTCGTCAGCGTGGTGGGTTCAACCTTGAAGGAGACTCATAGCATGGATCAGTGGAATGGAATCCCACAATTAGGCATTTTTGGAACCAGAACACCCAGATGGACTAAAGGCTGAAGAAAAAAATCTGTCTGCCTGAAGAAAAAACAAAAATCAAGCTTATCTGAATCAGACTCCCGACGGCCTCGGAGATGGGCTGACTATCAAATTTCTCCTGGGACATGAGTACCCAAGGACAAAAGCTTCATCTATCACACCCCCCCTCCCCGAGAACTTTCTGTGCAAGCTTATCAGAACTGCTGGCTGGAACAACATCTTCAGAAACTGTGGCTGATCTGAAAAAACGCTCATGGACAAATCTCAACACCTTGATGTCAAATGCAAATGTAATCATGTTTTAATTGTGCTTGCTGGTAGAGTTTTTTTGATGTCTCAAATTGTGTCCTGATAGACAAGATGTGAAAGATATTTTTTTGTAATTCCACTATCTACCCTCATGTTTCTCCCCCTGTTCCTATCTAAGATTATTATCTGATAAGGATAAGAAGGCCGCGCTCTCCTGTATTTGTAGCTTCGTGCACTCTGCCCATCTTTCGGACGACTGTACGTACATATTCGTGTTGTACCTCGGTGCAATTCCAATAAATTTTATTCTGATTCTGATACAAGCAGTGCGAGAGTTTGGTTCGCATTGCCGGTAGTAAGTCGGACCCCTTAAGGGTGGGAGTTGGACTCTGCCAGGGCTGCCCTGTTGTCACCGATTTTGTTCATAACTTTTATGGGCAGAATTTCTCGGTGCAGCCATAGGGCAGAGGGTTTCTGATTCGATGGCCTCAGGATTCTAAGACCCCAGCGTAACGGGTCACGAGTACAAACAATACATGTCTATTAGGGCACAAACCTATATGTCACATGAGAGGAAAGTCACCCCCTCACTATCGCCACCGTGAGTCCACCACGACCGGCTCGGCCTCCTGAACACAGTAGGAAAGACGGCGCATTTCTGCCGCACTCAAGGGCTGAGATATTTCACGTGCTAGGTCGACATCGGCCACCAGGCAGAGCAGTCATGGGCGCCGAGTGGACCAAAGGGGCACAAATTGCCTTTCCCCCATTGTGGGCACGGAGAGGGAAAACACCATTATAAAGTATTGGCCGTGCCCCTCGGCTATCAAATATGCCCATTTTGGCAGGGCATGAATGAGCACGAGGGGCATGGGACCAAAACTTTTTACATGGTCGGCTGTGCTTGTCTGGATAAATCCGTACCCATTTAGGAGCATGAAGTGGCACGAGATGGGCACTGTCCACAAAAACATTATAATGATGTAGATGAACATATTCTGTGATATATTCATAAATTAAACTGATTATTTCATTTTTCTGGACTGAATAATAACGTGCATTGAATTTAATTAAATGTGGACGGAAACGTGTTTATCTTTGACTCACCAACGACAGTGGGTCATTTATTTACAGAATCAAAGTTTAACATCACACATTTACATTAGTTGGCAAATTGAAAAATAACAACATGGCTAATTTAACAAGTTTTACAAGGAGGAAACAATTCGGCGATTGTTTCCCTTGCTTCCAGCTGTACAACAGACATTTCTAAAA